CGTCTGTGTGTGAAGACAGTAGCGCAAATTCATGAATGAATGTTCCGAAGTGAAAAACTTCAACAGAATAAAGTTGAATGGAATTGAATTGAATTAAAGTTGAATAAACTTCAACTTTACTGTTCAGTGCACTGATGTCAGACTCATTTTGGATAGTTTATTGTTAAATTATTAAATGCCCTGCCTCCATTACATATCTCTGTCACGTCATTATAAGTGTTTGATCACCACATTTGAGTGATCATTGCAAAAAATGTGTTTATGTATATATATTCTGTTTATGTATATACTGTATTCTATATATAGTACCAGTCAAATGTTTGGACACACGAATGGGAAAGTGTCCAAACTTTTGACTGGTACTGTACTATAATATACACAAAAAATATCGGCCGATATATCGGTATCTGCCTTTTTTTATTCCCTAATATCGGTATCGGCCCCAAAAAACCCATATCGGTCAGGCTCTACTAGTAAAGTTGCTACTAACTTTACCTGTCCATTAGCGGTACAGCGGAGGCGAAAAGCTGTATTATTATTATTGTGGTAACATCAGCAGAAGTTTACGTGCTCATGAATGTCTCAGAAAGTGTTTGTTCTTTATGTGCAGACTGAAGATGAAGCTAAAAATGGAGTGATTGAAGAAGATCAGGTCCTGATGGTGATCTCCCATAATGAGTTTGAGGACATGGTTATGTCACATAAAACTGTGACCAATCAGTCGGTCAGTCATTAAACATATGCATATATTATAGTATTTATAATATAGTGTAATATTATATAATTAACATTAATGGTACATTATTATATTTTAATTATAAATAATATTTATATTATTGTTATTTTATTTAATGATTATTATCATATTAATTATAAATTAAATAGTTAAAATTATTGTTATAATGTATAACACACATAAATTATGCTAATTTAATATTTTATTTCAATTAATATAACATTTTGTATACATGTTAGTTACAATATTATTGTTGTTAAATTTATAATAATATGAATATATACATATACTTGTGTATTTCTATTATAATTCAATTTATATAATTGATTATAATATAGTTTCTTTGTCATTCTAGGCTCCCATTGGTGATGTGTACGAGGAGGCGGAGTCTCTGTTGCAGCATCTCTATAAATACTTGAACAAAACTTCGAGGAAATTTGTCACAATTCTAGTGATCAGTCATCAGCAACGGTACACACGTCTTCTCTCAAATCAGCTTATTATTCATGTTACATGATTTCACAATAAAGAGGCTATTGAATGGACTGCTGTAAGTTCATGTGTGTGTACAGATCAGGATCTGGGGATGAAGATGATTTTGACTTCCACCTCAATCAGCATCATCTGGACACAGAAGGGGTCAGATAAATCCATCCTCACACTTGTAGTTTTTCAGTAATGTAAGCTTCCAGTAATCATGTCTTGTTTCTGTGATGGGCAGCTGCTGGTTCACCTCCAGCTCTACTGGAATGTGTCGGTGAACTTCCTGTTCGGCTGGCAGGAAGTGACCGATCATGTGGTTGCAGTTACCAAAGCTTTATCCAAGAGACCTTACAAGTGAGTTTTTTAATCATACAAAAAAATTAATCATTCAAAATGTCTGGGTTTACAAATTTAGGGTACAAATTATTTATGCTTCTGCTAAATGTCTAAATGTAAATTGTTATTAGAGGAATAGTTCACCCAAAAATGAAAACTTGCTGAAATGTACGCACCCTCAGGCCATCCAAGATTAGGATGAGTTTGTTTCTTCATCAGATTTGGAGAAATGTAGCATTCCATCACTCGCTCAGCAATGGATGCTCTGCAGTGAATGGGTGGCGTCAGAATGAGAGTCCAAACAGCTGATAAAAACATCACAATAATCCACACCACTCCAGTCCATCAGTTAACATCTTGTGAAGTGAAAAGCTGCTTTATCAGCTGTTTGGAATCTCATTCTGATGGCACCCATTCACTGCAGAGCATCCATTGCTGAGCAAGTGACAGAATGCTAAATTTCTCCAAATTTGTTCTGATGATGAAACAAACTCATCTTGGATGGCCTGAGGGTGAGTAAAGCTTTAGCAGAATTTTTGGGTGATCTAACCGCTGTATAGTATTATTAACTGCTCATTATGCAGAAGACACTATTCTTTTGCAAAAATAGCTCCGGGTGTTTTGTTCTCAGGGCGTTGTGTGGTGACCCTGATCTGGGGTTCTGCATGGACGGCTCGTGGTCGGCAGGTGTGCGAGTGGACAGAGACGGCCGCGGTCTCGCTCAGGTGTGGACACGTCAGATCCAGCAGCTGAACCGCGTCAGTCCAGCTCTGGCCAAAGCCGTGACGAGCGTCTACCCCTCTCCTTCCCTCCTGCTGCAGGTGACGCGTGTTCAGACTCTCACTGAACTAGCTCTTTATATGCTCTCACTCTCGTCTGCTCCAACAGGCCTATGAGGAGCTGCCGTCTGAGGAGGAGCGACGCAGACTATTGGCTGATCTCGCTGTGGTGGGCGGAGCCAAAGAGAGGCGTGTTGGTCCTGAGCTCGCTGGCCGTATATATCGCCTCCTCACTTCCCAGAATCCTCATCTCCTGCTGGATTAAGAGCAGATTTGTGGGAGTGAAAAACTAATTTTGCACTTTATCACCAGTATAGAAGACTAACCTTCTTCTATAAGTTTGTGCCTCAAATTATTGCATTCATTCTCCATTATGAACTTATTAATGAATATACCATCAATACTTGAAAATTAAACACTAATTAAACATTTTATGTTTGTATGGATTATTTAAAACTGATTGTAAATTTAAGACTGAAAAAGTGAATTTATTATATGAATTGAAAATATTAATCTATTAATTGGTGTTGGTGAATATTAAGATTGGATTATCATTATTTTAAATAGAAGATGAATTTCATTGATTGTCATTGATAAGATTATGCTTTTATTCAAAGTTGCATTGCATTTTATCAGTATATATGTTTGCTGAAAATTGAACAGGGTTATTATTAACAAACTATAAAAAAAACTTGAAATAAAATATAAATAAATTTTAAAATGTATTTTATATTATTGTAATTAAGTATTATTTCAGCTAGATGCCAAGGCAACAATTTCTCATTTTCATTTAAAGTACTAAAATATCAAAAATTTACTCATTTATTTAAAACTAAAAACATAATAAAAACCATACAGGTATTTAAAAAATAATATAATTATGAAAAAACACAAAATTATTTAAACTTTGACTCAAATTTAGTTTCAGAAGTTTAATATTGGTGAAACACAAATTAAAAAGAGCAAATTATATACTTAAAAAAAAACATGCAATTATGATTTTTGTTGTTGTTGTTTATTTTTTTAACTCAAAACAATGTAATCAGTAAGAAAACATGCAAAAGAGTACAAAACCATTCATTCATATATAGCGAGTATATAATAAAATGTTAATAATATGAGAGGGGGGTTAAACTAATGAATAAAAGTTAAGTGAATAAACACACCGTCCTATCTGAAAATACACAATCTACAGTGTTTATCAAATCAGATATGTATTTAGTTGTCATAGCAGAGCTATAGCTCTGATATTGAATTACGATAAATAATGTAACACTGTAATTAACAGTCTGATTGACAGACTCGGATATTAATCTACTGCACTGGTTTTTATAGATGCCAGGAGGTTTTTCATGAACTGGTCTCTCGAAGTCTGAGTGAATGAACTCAAACATACTGATGACTACAATATTTCAATAATACTGCTGCAAATTGTTTGGCATGTGTTGATCTACCTTAATATACAAGATAAACCTTCTCAAAAAAGGGTCACCTGACTAGAAACATTGGCACTGGAAATGAGCAAGTTTATGAGAAATTTCAATCTTTAACCACATCCTGAACCCTGAATAATGAATGAACTAATTGGAAAAAGAAGCAGATTACTAAAAAAATAAAGACACTGATTCACTGGATTCATGAAGGTTATAATTCACAACAAGTCCAGTGAATGCATTTTGATAGTTTGGCAAGGGATGAGGACGAATGCTTTGAGTTCAACTGATGATGTGTGTGTATTTAAGCAATAGTTCACCTAAGAATGACAATTATGTGATTTACTCTCCCATGTTTTTCCAAACCCACATGACTGACTTTTCTTCTGTAGGACACAAAATGAGGTGTTAAGCATTCTTCAAGAAAAAAATTAAGTCTCGTACCTAGGGCTGCAGAATTCGGAGGGAAATTTCAATCTTTAACCACATCCTGAACCCTGAATAATGAATGAACTAATTGGAAAAAGAAGCAGATTACTAAAAAAATAAAGACACTGATTCACTGGATTCATGAAGGTTATAATTCACAACAAGTCCAGTGAATGCATTTTGATAGTTTGGCAAGGGATGAGGACGAATGCTTTGAGTTCAACTGACGATGTGTGTATTTAAGCAATAGTTCACCTAAGAATGACAATTATGTGATTTACTCTCCCATGTTTTTCCAAACCCACATGACTGACTTTTCTTCTGTAGGACACAAAATGAGGTGTTAAGCATTCTTCAAGAAAAAAATTAAGTCTCGTACCTAGGGCTGCAGAATTCGGAGAAAAAAAAAAAGAAATCTGTAGAATTAAAATGTGAAATTTGACCAATTTCTGATAAAAATTGTGACTGTGATTTAAAATGCTATTTTAAAAAACAGTTTGTAGGCCTAAAATTATGTGATTATATTTATGACTTGTATACGACTATAATAGTAATACATAATAATAATAATAGTTGTTATTAATGATAAAATTATATTTTAACAAAAATGTTAAAATTGTATAATTAATATAATTATTTTAGAGTATAACTGCAAAATTACAATACTAATATACAGTATATATGGCTTAATTTCTTAATTTTCAAACATTATTATGGTAGAAAAAAGCCCCTGAATCCCCTTTTTTTTGCAAACAACATTGTTTCTAAGTGTTTCTCTTTACCAATTTTCTTTTGTTGACATTTAATTAAACAGCAGTCTTTGTGATTGTATAATCACACACAGTCATATCACAATTTAGGTTAATCGTGCAGTCTTACTTAAATGAGTTTGAAACAACGTGAGTGTGAGTCACCGTTAAATGTGACCTTTGACCTGTGATTTACAGGTAAACATTGTGTCTCATGTCCAGCGGCAGCGTTTCCTCTGGTACATCTCTAGCTCTGCAGAGAAGCCGTCTGAGCCACTCTCAGAGGCGGAGTCAGGCCAAAAGGAGGCGTGGCCTGGTGGAGTGTAGGAGGAGCATAGAATGCAAGAACCGGTGTGTTCCGGTTTACACACAGAGCTGGCATCATTTCCCTTACAGTCGTCGCTGGAAACAGATACCGGCGGGCCACAGCAAGGACAGGAAGCAGATACGTGCTGAAATGTAGGGTCAGGAATGGAATTATGATCAGGGCTGGGGGCGGAGCCACAGTAGAGGTCAGAAGGTGAGGAGGGATCAAGGTAACAGGTAACATCCATTATGGAGACACCATCTTGATAATGCGCATCATCTGGACAGGAAGTAGAATCAAGAGGCTCATCTTTACCATGGTAAGAACCAGGGTTATCAGAGAAGGAACTAGAAATAAAGACGCGTTCGTTGTCAGAGGGATTGTGGGAAGGAAATGGGCTTGTGTATTCGTCATAGTCGCCATCATCTGTTTGTGTGGCCTTGTTTTCCCTGTTGTGTGCGCAGGCGTCTGCGCAGCCGAGGGTCAGCGCCCATCCCAGCTGGTTAGACAGCAGCAGACGCAGACCCGGCGGCAGAGGCAGCACGCGCAGAGCGTCTGCGCAGTTGGGCAGCATTTTGCGCAGCTGTGTGCAGCACAGGTACTGTAATGTGGTGGGCGCAGAATGTGAACGGATCAGCTTCATGCTGCTCTTGGCCGCAGTCGAACACACCATCGGATACAGACGCTTATTCTGCAAGTGAGTAGCTGCTATGCCTGACAGACAGACCGACAGATATAGATAGATAGATAGACAGAGATGGAAAAGGAAGAATAAGAAAGATTGTAGTTGGTGTTTCAGTAGGAAATACACTGATACAGGACAGAAGAGAGTGTGTATGTCTTACCGATGCAGCGGCGGTTCTTATAGAAGCTCAGGGTGCCGTGCCAGCTGTCCAGATGGACCCCGATTATGGACCCTTGACCGAACCGTGATGAAAAGTTCACCTTTGACCCCTTATGGTGTAGATGACCTGAACCATGATAAATGTAGATGAAGAAAGGAAATTAAAAACACATAAATATGTAAAAATCCAGTCAGAACAATGTGGGGTTGGTAGTTTTTAAAAAAAATGTTTTTGAAAGGAGTCTCTGCTGCCCACCAAGGCTGCATTTATTTGATTCAAAATACAGTAAAAACACAAATTGTGAAATATTATTACAATTTACAATAATTATTTTCAATTTTAATATATTATAAAATGTAGGGATGCACGATATATCGGCCACCATATCGGTATCGGCCGATAAATGCTCATTTTTTCTGTTATCGGTATCGGCCCGATAAGAAAATTTGGCCGATATCTTTAAGGCAAGTGAGTAGCTGCTATGCCTGACAGACAGACCGACAGATAGATATAGATAGATAGATAGATAGACAGAGATGGAAAAGGAAGAATAAGAAAGATTGTAGTTGGTGTTTCAGTAGGAAATACACTGATACAGGACAGAAGAGAGTGTGTATGTCTTACCGATGCAGCGGCGGTTCTTATAGAAGCTCAGGGTGCCGTGCCAGCTGTCCAGATGGACCCCGATTATGGACCCTTGACCGAACCGTGATGAAAAGTTCACCTTTGACCCCTTATGGTGTAGATGACCTGAACCATGATAAATGTAGATGAAGAAAGGAAATTAAAAACACATAAATATGTAAAAATCCAGTCAGAACAATGTGGGGTTGGTAGTTTTAAAAAAAAATGTTTTTGAAAGGAGTCTCTGCTGCCCACCAAGGCTGCATTTATTTGATTAAAAATACAGTAAAAACACTAAAATTGTGAAATATTATTACAATTTACAATAATTATTTTCAATTTGAATACATTATAAAATGTCATTTATTTCTGTGATGCAAAGCTGCATTTTCAGCATCATTCCTCCAGTCTTCAGTGTCAATCTTCAGAAATCATTCTAATATGCTGATTTGCTGCTCAAAGAAACTGCTTCATATGTTTGTTGAAACTGTGATACATTTGATTTTTTAGGATTTCTCTGATGAACAGGAAGTTCAAAAGAACAGCATATGTTTGAAATAGAATCTTTTGTAACATTATAAATGACTTTACTGTCACTTTTGATCAATTTATTGCATCCTTGCTAAAGTATTAATTTCTTTAAAAAAAAATAAAAAAAATCTTACTGAATCCAAACTTTTGAATGGTAGTGTAATGTAAAATTACATACAAATGGATAAATCATTTAAGTCAAAATTTAAGTCAGCAGTCGTCGCTGGAAACAGATACCGGCGGGCCACAGCAAGGACAGGAAGCAGATACGTGCTGAAATGTAGGGTCAGGAATGGAATTATGATCAGGGCTGGGGGCGGAGCCACAGTAGAGGTCAGAAGGTGAGGAGGGATCAAGGTAACAGGTAACATCCATTATGGAGACACCATCTTGATAATGCGCATCATCTGGACAGGAAGTAGAATCAAGAGGCTCATCTTTACCATGGTAAGAACCAGGGTTATCAGAGAAGGAACTAGAAATAAAGACGCGTTCGTTGTCAGAGGGATTGTGGGAAGGAAATGGGCTTGTGTATTCGTCATAGTCGCCATCATCTGTTTGTGTGGCCTTGTTTTCCCTGTTGTGTGCGCAGGCGTCTGCGCAGCCGAGGGTCAGCGCCCATCCCAGCTGGTTAGACAGCAGCAGACGCAGACCCGGCGGCAGAGGCAGCACGCGCAGAGCGTCTGCGCAGTTGGGCAGCATTTTGCGCAGCTGTGTGCAGCACAGGTACTGTAATGTGGTGGGCGCAGAATGTGAACGGATCAGCTTCATGCTGCTCTTGGCCGCAGTCGAACACACCATCGGATACAGACGCTTATTCTGCAAGTGAGTAGCTGCTATGCCTGACAGACAGACCGACAGATAGATATAGATAGATAGATAGATAGACAGAGATGGAAAAGGAAGAATAAGAAAGATTGTAGTTGGTGTTTCAGTAGGAAATACACTGATACAGGACAGAAGAGAGTGTGTATGTCTTACCGATGCAGCGGCGGTTCTTATAGAAGCTCAGGGTGCCGTGCCAGCTGTCCAGATGGACCCCGATTATGGACCCTTGACCGAACCGTGATGAAAAGTTCACCTTTGACCCCTTATGGTGTAGATGACCTGAACCATGATAAATGTAGATGAAGAAAGGAAATTAAAAACACATAAATATGTAAAAATCCAGTCAGAACAATGTGGGGTTGGTAGTTTTAAAAAAAAATGTTTTTGAAAGGAGTCTCTGCTGCCCACCAAGGCTGCATTTATTTGATTAAAAATACAGTAAAAACACTATCGGTTATCGGCTTTCAAAAATAAAGAATTATCGGTATCGGCCAAAATTTTCATATCGGTGCATCCCTAATAAAATGTCATTTATTTCTGTGATGTAAAGCTGTATGTTCAGTATCATGACTCCAGTCTTCAGTGTCACACGATCTTCAGAAATCATTCTAATATGCTGATTTGCTGCTCAAAGAAACTGCTTCATATGTTTGTTGAAACTGTGATACATTTGATTTTTTAGGATTTCTCTGATGAACAGGAAGTTCAAAAGAACAGCATATGTTTGAAATAGAATCTTTTGTAACATTATAAATGACTTTACTGTCACTTTTGATCAATTTATTGCATCCTTGCTAAAGTATTAATTTCTTTAAAAAAAAATAAAAAAAATCTTACTGAATCCAAACTTTTGAATGGTAGTGTAATGTAAAATTACATACAAATGGATAAATCATTTAAGTCAAAATTTAAGTCAGTTTTATTTAAGTCAAAACGTTACTTAAAAAGACAGAATCAAGCTGGCACGATTCAGTTTAGTCATTTTAATGATTAGATCTGGTAGAAATAGTCACAGACATGTAAAAATTATTACTTTTTTTAAAAAAAAAAAAAAAAAAAAAAAAATCTTACTGAATCCAAACTTTTGAATGGTAGTGTAATGTAAAATTACATACAAATGGATAAATCATTTAAGTCAAAATTTAAGTTAAGTCAGTTTTATTTAAGTCAAAACGTTACTTAAAAAGACAGAATCAAGCTGGCTCGATTCAGTTTAGTCATTTTAATGATTAGATCTGGTAGAAATAGTCCCTTATGGTAATAAATGTGTTTTGCTTGTGTTTTTTTAAATACACAGACATGCGCAGGTTATTTAATGTATTTAAATGAATAATACTGAATTAACTGTATAGAACGCAGGGGTCACGTGACCTCTGACCTCACCTGTGTAGGACAGACCCCAGCTGTCCTCATCCGTGCCCAACAGACTGCAGAAACTATGTTTGAACTGATCCAGGTTCACTTCTGATGTCCCGACACCAACCATCTGGACTCATCAACACACAAAATACATATGTGACCATGGATCACAAAACCAGTCATAAGGGTCAATTTCTGGAAATTTAGATGTATGCATCATCTGAAAGCTGAATAAATAATCTTTCCATTGATGTAAGGTTTGTTAGGATAGGACGATATTTGGCCGAGATACAACTATTTGAAAATCTGGAATCTGAGGGTGCAAAAAAAAAAATCAAAATATTGAGAAAATCACGTTTAAAGTTGTTCAAATGAAGTTCTTAGCAATGCATATTACTAATCACAAATTAAGTTTTGATATATTTATGGTAGGAAATTCACAAAATATCTTCATGGAACATGATCTTTACTTAATATCCGAATGATTTTTGGCATAAAAGAAAAATCTATAATTTTGACCCATACAATGTATTTTTGGCTATTGCTACAAATATACCCGTGCTACTTAACACTGCTTTTGTGCTCCAGGGTCACATATTTTAAATGTCTATCTATCCATCCATCCATCCATCTATCTTGATCTTATCTTGATATATTGTCAGTGTTGTAGTTTATTGTCTTTGTTCATCCAGTCACCGTATCTCACCATATCTGTGCCGTAGACGGGAGATGTCATCTTGATTTCCCAGAAGTGCTGTCCGTCGCTCAGAGGCTTGGCTCCCCTGATGGCAGCGGTTCCACAGCTGTACTCCGAGTGGAAGATCACCTTCCGGTCAGAGCAGCTCAGAGACACGGAGGATGATTTGCTCTCCTCGTCCCAAACCCAATCACACCCTTAACACAGTGACAAACACAAGGAACCATGATTTCAAATCTTCACTGTGGGGAAAAACACAGCATTATTCATGTTTTTTTATTAAAGGGCAGTATTTTCCTCTGTACTGTCGCTGATTGTTTATAAGTAGGTGGATTTTTTTGTTAGGGAATGTTTTTCTGATCGTATAAAACAGTGTGTTGTCTCTCAAATCAAACATTTAAAAAATCTATTTAATTGAAATAAATTCTCATTCTGAAAAATGATGACTAATGTTTTAAACTAATATTATTAGATGTTTGTGTTTCTAATGTCTACTTGTAGTTATTTGGATATAAATATAATGGATAATTCTATTCTATGCATGTCATAGTTTCATAAGTGCTTTGTGATATAAATGGATAGATATATGGATTTTGACTGTGCTGGGTCAATCTGTGTTTTAGCTTTTTATTTTTATTCAGTTTGCAGGGTCGGTAAGATTTTTTAAAATATACAGTATATATATTTTTTTTTTTGAAAGACGTCTCTTCTGCTCACCAAGGCTGTATTTATTTGATAAAAAATACAGTGAAAACAGTTATATTGTGAAATATTTTTACAATTTAAAATAACTGTTTTCTATTTGAATATATTGTAAAATGTAATTTATTCCTGTGATCAAAGCTGAATTTTCAGTATAATTTCTCCATTCTTCAGTGTCACATGATCCTTCAGAAATCATTCTGATATGCTGATTTGCTGCTCAAGAAACATTTCTTTTAGGATTCTTTGAAGAATTGAAACTTCGTAAGAACAGCATTTTTTAAAAATAGAAATCTTTTGTGACATTGCAAAGGTCTATACTGTCATCTTATTGACTCCAAACTTTTCAAAGGTTGTGTATGACAAAGTGCAAATCACATTACTCGAGTCAGCTCAGTATGATTCTGTTCTCTTTAGTGTTTAAATGCATGATTAAATGTAATGAATCTGACCCTGCTCTTCCTCTCCGCAGGTGCAGCTGAGGGTGTAGGGGCTGATCTGGGCGTCTGAGCTGAGCTCTGTTTGAGCTGGACACTGGCAGAACGACTCGCCCGTCACGGGCACCACCGGCGGCAGCTCCGCTGGCACACACACCGTCACCGGCTCGTAGCCTGTAGAGCTGCCCTCTGACTGACCGCACAAACAAAACCAGTCAGGACCTCTCAGAAATGTTCAGGTCACATTTTAAAATCAAAAGAAATATTTAATAAATGAAATGTTTGGTTACACTTTATTTTAAAGTGTCCCTGTTACAGTGTAATTCTACATTTAAGTACTGAGTAATATTAATTAACTACATGTACTTACTATATGGTTAGGGTTAGGATTAGGGTTTGGCTTACTTGCATGTAATTATGCATAAGTTATTGTTATTATAATAGAAAGTACATGTAACATTTGTAACAAGGACACCTTCAAATAAAGTGTTACCAAATTTTTCATAAAGAAAATAAAGCCTGTTTTATACCTATTAAGAAGTCTGATTATCTTCATGTGTGAGAAGCTGATTTAAAGCAGCGCAGCACATGCTGTGTCACTGAAAGCGTTCATTTGAGACTCTGATTGGCCGGATGCCCAGGTAATGTAAAACTAGTGCTAGTTAGCTCAAAATAACTTGACAGAAATAAGCAGAGCTTGTGAGGACAGAAGTCATGCTCACCTGTGGTCCCACAGCCTGCTTCTCTTCTGGGCCGAGGGGCGTGAGGGGCGTGGCTTCAGTCTCCGGGACATTCTCACTAACAACATTATTCCCAGACATTCCTGGAACACAAGAACAGAATGAGGCAGTTATTTCTTCCATCCATCCATCTCTCTGTCTGTCTATCTATTCGTCTGTCTGTCTCTATCTATCTGTCTGTCTCTATCTATCTATCTGTCTGTCTGTCTGTCTGTCTGTCTATCTATCTATCTATTCGTCTGTCTGTCTGTCTATCTATCTATCTATCTATCTATCTATCTGTCTATCTGTCTGTCTATCTATCT